TCTCTCTCTCTCTCTCTCTCTCTCTCTCTCTCTCTCTCTCTCTCTCTCTCTCTCCCTCCCTCCCTCCCATGTTAAAAGCTGTGGCACGAGGTCTGTACCTACATATGACACAAGAGTGCCATATGGCAGAAGTATCAGAGTACAGTCCAAAGGTAGGAGAGGGCCGAGGAACTGCAGGTATTATATTAATAGGTTGCCACTTTATGAGCAAATAATTTATGCTCAAGCTGTGAATGCACCGCTAGCAAATTTGATGCGACTTTATTTTAGGTTTTACTTAAAAAAAGTGATAGAGAGGCGAGCAATTATGCATTACAAGATTATATATATATATATATATATATACATATTTATTTATTTATTTATTTATTACATAGACACATAGACAATTATAGAAAGTAACTCATATAAATAGTGTAAAATAGTGTTTGTGAAGTGTTTCATACCTGTAGGGCAGCAAACATCATCATCTCTTCTTCCGTGCACTCAAGTTCCTCCCCCAGTAGAGCCCACTTTGCCTGGTTAAAGATCTGATTAATCCTGATTGAGTCATACTGCAAGCAGACAAAGCAAACTCATTAATAACATGCAAGTATTAATTGCCACCAAATACAACACTGCTTAGGGCATTTACTCTATGTTTAATGACATTCTGTCTGCAGTTCAGATGATTATTAATCTTTATAGACTGCAGGAAATTCTAGTACTGGGAGAAACAGTTTGTGACTTAGAATAAGATAACTTTCAATTATTTTTTTATAATTAACCCAGTTATACTTTGGTAACATTAAGTCACGACTTAACATACTGCCCACATCGCTAGAATTGCAAAAAACTTTAAACGAAAATAAGTAGTCCTAACAGTCATAACTACTACAATTCGCTCTTATATATAATCAGAGCCCAACACATAGAACTCATTGCCCTGTAGGGCTAGTGTGTGAGAATGTCGTATGAGCATACATTGATACACTAAATATCTAACTACTAAATTGTCGCCTTCAAAAATCTTTTACGAACTCAACTAACTTGGCTTTTACAACCATCCTTATTGGAATCTCGTGTTAGGAGAAAAGAAGCAAGTGCGTGATGATGTTAGGGTTTTGAGAGAAAGATTTTGCTTGAGCATGGTGAAGATTATGGGATTTTCGCAATCGACACCTCTGTCGAAGCAAAATATCTGTTCTATTAGTCTATCGCACGCAGTACAAGGCCTTTACATCTCCGATAAAGCCAGCTGATACTGTGATAGTAAACGCTTGAAAGCCTTCCTTTACATTCACAAGTAGAGCAAGCTATTTCTCATCTCTTACACATCAACCCACTCATAACCGGCACACACAAAGCAGAATGACTCATCACTGCACGCTCAGATGACGCACAGCTTAATAGGAGAGACCTGCTTAAATAGCAGGCACGGAGAAAAGGCATGCAAGGCAATAATGGAGAGCGGAGAGGACTTTCAAATAACTGAAGAATAATGGGGGCCTGAGTGTTTCATAGATAATCCCCAGAGAACTGCGATCAATGGCCAACTGGAAAATTGGAAGTTGTATCAGTGGAGCTCCTGGTAGAAGCTTGCACAAATTGCCAGCCGAGAATGTTAGAGTTACTGGCATATAACAACACTACTGAAAACACGACAGCGGTCAATGCACTTAAGTTGCCAGTGGTTCTGCATTATGAAGCATTACGAAGTAACTAGTGGGGTAACATGCATTGCCTGGATCCTTTGACAAGCAAACTATGATATTTACATGTTTTATAAGAAAGCAGAAATGAAGAAATGCTATAATAAATACAGTACTAGTGAAATCAGTAAATGGAAAGTGTGAAACAGCTGTAGTTTAGGAATAGTTTGGCTAGCCACAGACAGACATTCCGCATATAGCACAGATAAAGTGAATTGTACGGAGGTTTTACCAACCTCAAATGAAACACCAGCTTGAAGTATGATGGCAAAAGCAGCAATGAAAAGTTTAGCAGAACTTTCCTCTTATCTGCCTAGAGATTCAGGAAATTTTATTCACTTTTTCTATGCGTAAAAAGTGCTATGAATTCAGTCTCTGCAGTTGTAATTAGAAATTTTCCTGGAACAGCCGTAGTTCTCCAAGGTTTCTCCCATAAAAATTATGTAATTTTCATTCATAGTGGAACCAGTGTATCATTTGCTGTAGAAATGTAGAGAGCATTAAAACAGGTAACTACCTTGGGATTGAGGTCATAGAATGTCAGAAACTTGTAGCGCAGCATTAAGGTGTCACTCTCCCGGATGGTTTGTTCCATCAGTGACACAGACGAGTAAAGCCACCTATAGACAAATGAAAGAATACCATCTGGATGAATACACAATTTCTTAACATGATGCTGCATAAGGTTGAAATTTTATCTTCAAATTCTATACTTAACATTCTAATTTTATACAACACAGAATTTTCACTAACTTCTTATCATAAACATGACTTTCAGTTTCCTTCACATCGCACATTTAATATAATTCCTGCAGATAATTGATATGATATATAAAGATTAAAATAATGAATGGCTATAGAATAGAATGGGTTTTAGTGAATCACGAAAAAGCACCTCGGCTATAAAAATGCAATCAATGTTGTAATTAAATCCTTGTGTATAAATTAATAATACTAATTGACTAATAATATAATACAAGAGCCGCAGAGCGTCTGGGCTCATCTGAGGTCTGTTGCTACGATTATAAACGTAAAATTTCAGTCGTGCGTAGTACCACATTTGTTAGGCGCAGATATGCAGACACGCAGTTGCGTACACATCATTGTTAGGACACGCCCACTATCGCAGATGGAGGGTAGGGGGAGGGTAGGTGGAGAGTGGGTGGAGGAG